GGTATGATTAAAAGAATTATTTCTAAGATTCCCCGCTGCATAACTTCACAAGCTGCTCGGGCTGATGTTATTGAAAGAAAAAGTGTTCAGTTCTCCTTTCACTGTGAGCAAGCTCACACTCTCCTTTGTCTGGGCACAAATGCCCAGTGACACCTGACGTTGTGGTGACAGTTTTCCTCTCAGAATTGTCTGCAGCAGAAGAGGTGGCCTCGGCTGAACTGAGCACCGGGGATGGAGTCCAGCCACGCAGCTGGCTGGACTAGCTGCGGTAGGTGGAGGAGTTTAAGGGGCCACGAGGTGACTATTTGCAGGGACCTCAAAGTCGAGGAATGGCATCCTGTTGGGAAGTCCATGTGTGTGGCAACTCTGAAGGTTGAAGAAATTCTTTTGGAGCYCTAATTTAGCATTCCTTGTAGCTAACTGTAACTGGAGGCTGCTGAGAAGGGTGATCCCTTCCTTGCTGAAGAATTCTGAAGGCGGGGAGAGATGCGTGTTTCTGCAATACGGAGGTGAAAGGCATGGGGGGAAAAACATTAGTGAAAGGAAAGGAGAAAGGCCAAGCAAACTGAATGCTCGTAACTTTTTCTACTCCCTGTCAGAAAATTCCTGGCTTCTGAAATTTTAATTTTGGAAATAAACCTCTGAGTATGCTAAAAATGAATATGCTGATTTTTTTCATGAAAAAATGATTTTTTTTAAGCAAGGCATGCACCAATATAATCTATGTGCTCAGTTCTACATGATGAAATATTGAACATTTTAAGTCCAACACTGTCTTTCCAATGTAAGGAAAACTAAAATGAGAACTAGTTTTGTATTTTTTTAATAACTCTCTACCTTCTAAGTAAGCTGTATTAAATTTCAAGGTGGAGATAATTTATATTGTCACTTGAATAGCTTAGTAACCCAGTCCCAAGTAACCAGGTTTGAAATGCAGCATTAGTTGAAATGCAGCTTAGTTTAGTGGGAGCCGATTTGTTCTGATCTGTTCAAAATTCATGCTTCCAGTTCAGGGCATGTGAATGCTGGATGACTCAGCCTTTTGGGCAGCAAACACCTGGTTTTCTTCTGTGGTTTTTTTTTTTTTTTGCGCTTTCCTTTGTGTTTCCAACATGTTTCAGATGCCTGAGTAAGAAACTGGCTAGTTAAGTAGCAAATACCATTTCAGAATGAAAAGACTCAAAATCAAGAAGTGGAGGGTTTTAGGTTCTGCCTATTGACATGAGAAGCTCAAGGCATGCAGGGATCCTGCCGTGTGTATCCAYGAGCACTCGAAATGCTCATGTAGGAGTGTTCCTGAGTGTCCAAACTGCAGTTTCTGGTCTCTGAAGTAGTCGGGAGAGGGGAAGGGAGGTTCTTAAATGATTTTTGAGGGAGCCAGATGTATTATTTAGGGTGACAATTTTGGTTATACTGTYTTGACAGATGATGTTAGGGTTTAGTATAATATATCTGGTGTAATATTGTGTGATGCAGCAGGAAAAAGAGAACTATGTTCACAAAATGTRATTTTGATGAAGTCTTATGGAAACAAACATGGGTGTGGTTTTTTGGTTATATTTTAGACATGTTAGATTTTGAACTACTCCTAAACCAGCAGTAATAAAAATTAGAAAATTTATAGAAGCAGAGGGAAAATACAAAGGKTTATGAAAAAGATTCTGTGTGATTTTGAATCTGTTTTGTAGGAGGTGCTCTTCTGGTCCGGGGTGTACTGCCTATCATCAGTTGCTTAATTGGTCTTAGCGTACCTAAAAATGCTGAAAGGATCCCTCTTTTTGCATAAGGTAGTTGTCTTTGCTAGCATTCAGATTCCTCTCTGGAACAGTTTTGAAACTGAGCAGTGTTTTGCAATGCCAAGCAAGAGACGTTGGGCATGCCCTGCTCCTCCTCCTTTCTTGTTTCKTTTTGAAAACCACACAGAGTTGTCTGCCCTTAGCTACCTGACCCTCTCCATAGCCTCCATTCCTGCTTCCACAGGGGCTTCCCRCCCCTCCATTCAGCCTGATGGGGATGCTTTCTTGGTCGGTGCACTTAGAGCATCGCAGCTACTTTATTGCACCCCTCCTGTAGAAGGAGTTCCCTGAGATAAAGGTCTTTTTGCTCCTCTTCTCAACCCCTCCGTGCAGTCCATGCATTTGTGGCTGAATCCGGGGTGTCTTGCCCTAACGAGTGGGTCTCGGGTGCCGCAGGAGGAGGAAAGGGGGCTCTTGGTGAGCGGGCCGTGACACGTCTGTGTGGCGCAGCTGGAGCAGCTCTTGCCCTTGGGCTTGGAGCAAGGGAGAAGGAAGTAGCTGCTGCTGCCTCGGCGCCGTGTTTTCCAGCCCGAGCGAGAGCAGCCTTTGCCCTTGCTCCGTGCTCGGCCTCCGCCTGTGCTGGCACCAAGTAGCTGTTTCAGATTTCACGTGGATTTCACGAAGGGAGAGAACTTTGCTGGGGCTTCTTGTGGTCCTCCAGTTTGAGAACCTCCAAGGCTACCTASATGCTATAGACAGGCCACTTTGTCTAGCGACTCAGTAGGAAGTAACTTGCCAGCCCCAAGAAATGACCCCCCCTCCCCCCCCTCAAGAAATCTCCATTCCCCTCGGACAAGAGCTTTATGCAGTGTATTGAAGATCATCTGAGCATGATGTTTGTTTAACGGGGGAAAGTAAATTCCACAGTTAAGAATTCTTCATTAATAATGTGTAAACATTTGAATCAAGGGAGTGTCAGCTTGAATGACCTAAGTGATCCCATTCRGTTTAGTGCAGTGAGGAGCCCAGATGGAAGGGACAGGAGCCAAAAGTGACTTAATTGGTTTCTACCTTGAATCACACCCAGAGGCAGTAGCTACCCAAAGCACCCTGATGTTGGCATTGCCATCAGTGTCTGAAAAAAATCCCCAAATCCCACCAGCAAAAATCAGTAGAACTCATGAGGTCAGGTTTTTGTAATTAGAGTTGTTTACCAAACCTGTGTTGTGCAGTGGCTGAGCAGATATGTGTAAAAAAAACCATTTTTAAAGCAGGATGACCCAGCCCACTGATGTCATTAGCAGTTTGGAATTAAGTCGTGTAATGTGTAATTTGTAATATTATAGTACCTAAAATCTGAGATGGAGATTTTGAGTATAATCTGAAAAGAATCATTTAGAAATCTTGAGGTATTAGTGTGATGTATGCTCATATCCTCATGCGTGTTATATTTTCTTTGGTCTGTAGCAAAATCCCTTGAAGTGTGCCTTCTAACAGTACATGTAAGCAAATGGAAGGAAATTGTAGCACAAACTAATATAATTTGCCTTTTCAAAGATTTCTCATCCTGATTAATGTTCTGGGAAATAATGTAATGATAATAGGATAGTACAAGATGTAGCCATTTAGTGAAAATTGAACGATGGTAGCTCCAGAGCTAAATAAATGAGATTATAATCTTAAACTTTTGGAGAACAGTAAGGTCAGAACCAGTAGCTAATGAGTSAAGGCTGCAAGTGCCTACTGAAAGTCTTGAGGCCTTCAAAAAGGTGTGGATTTTTTTTCTGTTTATTTTAATAAAGTTCATATAATTCTAAAACAACTTAAAAATAAATGTAGGATTTCTGTATGAGTAGTATTAGAAAAGCAGAAATATGAAGCAGATAAAACATGCCAAATACATGAAACAAAAGAGAACTTCAGATGAAAGTCATAATTTATGAACACGTGTAATTGAGGAAAACAGTGAAAATATTTTCTGTGCTATTCTTGCCAAAGATTTCCATTTAATTATAAAAATGGGAGAAGGGCTCAATTTTCAGGTTAATAGATTGTATTCTAATTCTTGAAAATCTTAGAGACTACCTCTGCCTATTGTAACTAACTTCTAAGGTGTGAATTGGGCTATGAATACAGCTCAGGTTTAAAGAGTAAAGAGTTAAAGGTTTAAAGAGTTAAAGGTTTAAAGAGTAAAATGCCAAATCTGCATAAAATGCCGGCCATGTGGTATTTTTTAATGACCATGGAAACAACACACCTACAACTAGCTTTTTTATTTATTGTTCAGCAGTGCAAGAGAAATCTGAACACTCCCCAAAAGTGGCAGGTATGTTCTTGTGGTTAGTACGATCTGAGCCTCTCTGTTTTACGCCCCACGCAAGCAGATGTGACCACTGAACATTATGTTACTGTCTCTGAATGGCACCAGTAACCTGGTGAACTTTAAAAGACTAAGGATTTTTAATCCCGATCTAATCTCTAATCTAATGATCTAATCTGTTTTTTAAGTTCTTTTTTTCTCTCCTCTTTCATTGTGTAGATTTTGCTAGAAAACTATTTGTTTGGAATAACTTACGAGGTAAAACATGAAATCCCATAGAGATTCTATGACTAATTTTAAGTTATTCACTAATCAGAATGTTGTTCATAGTTTAGTCCTGATTATTTACACTCCAGTGGGACAGTTTGGACTCTCCTCCATCTTTTTTCACAGTTGCAAATACTCCTCCTCCTAAGTGCTTTTGTGGTGTACTTGGACCTATTGAACTTTAGTCTGAAACACTTTAGTAGTTACTTTAAATTTTTTACCCTGATATTACCAATGAATATAGGGGAAAGGAAAAAATGGAGGGAACCTGATGAGGAAGGAAACCAGCATTTGCAGCAGATATGCTGAACTGTAAAGCTGCTTTGTGCATATCTGTGTTTTCTCTTCTCCTCCCCAGGGAAGGATTCTTCCCTAGAATCTTAAACATTTAAGTCAAGCACAAAATTTGTGTTTCTGCATGGGCTCTAAAAAAGCTTCTCTTCTCATATTTGTAGAACTTAGCAGTTCTGAGAATATTATATGGTTTTGGAATAACTAGCAGTATTTATTCTTTGTATAATGTTTACTATATGTAGACTACTATTTGCAGGCTACGTACACTAGTATTGTGTAGACTGTAYGTACTCTACCATGTAATATGTTTGTGCTTTGCAAAGTTCTAGAAGTTCCTGAGTCCATTGCTCAGAAAAAACTTTGTTACAACCTATTGGAAAAGTCTTAGGATTATAATTCCATGGATTAGTATTCCATAAACTTTCTTTTGGAAAGTTATTTCCAGTTTGTCTTGCACTGAACAAAGATAAGATTCCAATTGTTAAGTCTATTTCTGTGAAGCAGTTGACTGGGTTTCTAGTGCTAGGTACCTCTAAATGCTGTGTCTGTAGTTGACGACAAACAACAAGYATAAAACAAGTTTTATACTTGGTCATGGGAACGTGTAAGCTCATTTTCAGAAATACAACAGGCGACATTTGGTAACTGCTGCATAATAATCTTTTAAGTTCCGTAAGCTTATCTTGACCCTTCATAGGACTTGGACACAGACTTTTTTTTTTCCCTTTGTATTTTAGTCATATCTGCAATTAAACAAACTTTGATAGCCATATACTTCAAGATAATGGAAAAAAATGTGAGTTGATGAGTGCCAGTTTGTAATTTAGTGAAGCCATTTGTATTTGTTGCGTTAGGTTCTCTGGTTAGCAGCGCTCTGCAGCTGTGAATGTGCTGTGCCATCCAACAGGCGTCTAACTCTCCTCTCTCTGAAGAAGCATGGACTGGAGTAGCCACCTTTGCCAATCGCCATCCATTGAGCAATATCCAGAGGACAACCCACGTGCAGGACAAGTTTGCATGTTGTTGAACAGCTGGGCTGATCGGCACCAGTAACTCTATTAGAATGGTTTTATGTGCTTAGTTTAACTGGTGATTTTTGTCTTTGCTGAGAGTGCAGTCTGACTTTAGTGTTTATGATCCCTGTTGATGGCTTTTTTTTTTCCTAAGAAATGTTTGCATGTTTTAGAAGATGTATGCTTCTGCCCGGTAGTTCATAGAAACATCTTTATAAATCTCATTCCAAACCAAAATAGCCTCCAAAGTCTGTATGGCAGAAAATACAGATGATGAAATCTTCAATTYACACAAAACAAGTTCAGCTGACTTTGTGGAGAGAAGCAGGTCTGTTGTAGATCTTCTGTCTGTAATAGAAATGAAAGCTGCAGAATGGGAAGTGGAATGAGATTGTTCCACCTCTGTGCTCTTGTGCTTATTTGTCTTCAATATAAAACCTTGATTTTTTTTTTCCAGGGAGGCAATAATGCAGGCCATACCGTTGTTGTGGATTCTGTGGAGTATGACTTCCACCTTCTGCCAAGTGGCATCATCAATCCAAAAGTTATATCATTCATTGGTAAGTGGGACATCTCTAAAACAGAAATGGCCACACAATAATGCAGTTCTTGAGATCTTAAAATAATTAAAAGGAGGGTACCTGAGAACATACAGGACCAGGATTCTTCTTCCTTAAACTGACAGGGGCCTGGACTCCAGTTCTGAAGCAACTCTGCTACTTTGTTAATGTTTTAACTAAATTGTGAAGCTTGGATTCTCTTTTTTACTATGGGAACTTTTTTTGCATTATTGTTTCATAGTCCATCTTTGTTCTTATTTGTCCTGTCACTGCAAATCACTTGCTTATCTAAATTCTCTTTTCCCTCACTTCCCTCACTTTCCTCTTACTTTCTTTACTGTTTATCACTTTTATTTTGTCAGTTTCTTCCTACTTTAGTCTTCAGCTTTGCTGAGTGACTACCAGTACATTGTGCAACGTACATTTTTTTTTCGCCCATTCCACCATTTCCATGGTGGAATGAGTGAATGCTGAATCCAAGTTTTCTCCACTGTATAGGTTCCTGTCAAACAGTCTTCTCAAGATGGTGCAGTAGAAGGCTTAGGGCAGTAGCAGCACTCTGTGATGTCAGGATCTCTAGATGCTGGGCAGATACCATCCTGACCATCCTGACTGCTTCCCGTCTGCTGAGTTTGGCATAACATGAAGATGGTTCTGTTTTGACGTATGGAAGTGCTCGCTCGTAAACCATGCTTAAGTTTATGAGCTGCTTGCCGTTTTCTAAGCCATGTGACAGGATGGCAAATGTCAGTTTCCTRTAGAAAAAATGAGCTTATTTTGTTGAAGCTCTTTTTCCTCTGTTTAGGTTAGTCTGGTAACAGCATCACTTCTGTTTACGCGGTATTCTGTAGTTATTTACAGAGGAATGCCCAGGGATAGTAATGTTTTTAATGATGCTAGAAGTTAAGCTTTTAAAAGCTAGTTGGGTTATTACAATGGAAAAAAAAAGAGAAGTTAATTTGAGAAATCAGGAAAAGGAAGTTGTATTCTAGACTGTCCCACAATACTATTGCTGATCAAAACTGAGAGTTTAAGCTTTTTAAAGAGATAAATGTATGTATTTAGAAACCTATGATTACTGATAGATTCCAAAGAATGAAAACAGTAATGTATTAAAGATTTTAAAAATTAAACAAATACTCCTTATGCAAAACATGATGTCTCTTGAATTGATTGGAACTTCTTTTGTCCATGTTCAAAATAATACACTAAACTTTTTATAATGCTAGTTTTTAATTTCTTCAGGAAATGGTGTAGTAATTCATTTGCCAGGACTCTTTGAAGAAGCYGAAAAAAATCTGAAGAAAGGAAAAGGTGAGAATATTTTAAGACACTACTCTTAAAAAGTTGCACGAGGCCTTCTTGATAGTTGATATTATGGCCAAAACAAGTAAATCAACTGTCTGAATTATTCAAAAGGAAAAAGCTACTAATTGGTTGGTGAAATTGAGAAACAAATAACTAGATTTTTTTTCATCACAAAAATAAGCCTGACTTTCTTAGCTTTATAGGCTGATGTCAGACTTAAATTATTGAAATCTACGTGTGGAAGGTATTAGCTCATCTTTTAAATGACGACTAAACATGAAAAACATTTCTCTATTAAACATTGAAAGAGAAAAGTGCTATACAAAATATAAGTTGAACTATTTTATTTTTGTTTAAGGGCTAGAAGGCTGGGAAAAAAGACTAATAATTTCTGACCGGGCTCATATTGGTAAGTTCTTGATTTTATTTTATTTTTGCTTCTCTGAATTTTCCGTCGCATTAAAAGGTAAAAGTTTATGGCCATCTCTTTACATTGATACATAAAATTATTTTGGATTAAGCCTCTATATGCTAAGTGTTGTTCTGGTTGCTTTGGTTGGTTGAAGATCCTGGATGCCGGGATGTTCTCCCAGGTTCATACTGTAGTGACTCTTTAATCAGAAGCATATCCTAGACAGGAAACTGGGTTCACTTTCCATGCCAAAAGCTAAATGTGAAAAGCAGTCAAAAAGCACTTTGGAAGTTAATTGACAGGAAGTTTCATTTCTCCCYTACTGTAAAAGTAGTTTTGCTTTTTTTTTTTTTCCTGAAAAAGCTTTTCTGGTGGGAAGCCATGTGACTGTCCATGACTTCCAAACTAGTGAGTTCCCTCCCAACTAAGTTCCCATGTACTTTGGAAAAGAGAGTTTCTAAGAGTGCCTATGAGAAGGGCTCTGTAGGAATTGAGAGAATGACTTTCCTTTGCTTGCAGACTCCTGGCAGGGAGCTCATGAGTCAAACTTTGATCCCAAATTACGTTCGTTCCAAACTCTGAACTCCTCAGTTCAGAGCCTGGGATAAAATCATGTTTAGAGTCCAAGCCACTTAAAGAGAGCTTCTATGCTAGAGGCTTCTTCTGTGTCTCCTCTAGGCCATCTTTAATGCATAAAATTCATCCTCTAAAATAGTAATTGGGACCTAGTTGTCATGTATTGGGAAATGGGCTTTTTGTTCATGTGGTGATATCTGAAGATTCAAACTTTTGGGGAATTTCAATCAGACAAAAGCTTATGGCACTTTTTAAAAAAAATCTCATCTGAGAATCTGGTGTAACTGCAGATGAACATGCTATTTCAAAATAAATCTCTTTTTATTTTGGAGTAATTTAAGTAAATAAAAGTAACTGCAAGCAAATTATTTGGAAATGACTAAGATTATTAGGAAAAGTGTGCAATGGTTATGTTACAATGGCAATACTGTGAAGATTTTCATGAGTAAAGAGATACTGAGTAAAAAGGACCAAGCCTATCACCTGCAATCATTCAACCTCTTAGGAACAATCAGGCAGTTCATTAATGCTATTAAGAAATGTTTTGAAGATCATCAGGAGATCTGTTGCCATTATAAACATGCCTTATCTGAAATGAGTAGAATGTGGAAATTTGGTAGTCTTATGAATTTCATTATTAGTCTACAATAAAAGATAATCTAAAATAGGTTCAAGCTTCTAGGGGTGATTTAATGTTTGAAATTATGGGGAAATGTGGAAATCAGCACAAAAACAACTTGGTAAGGAAAACAAGGAAAATTGCTTTAGTGTCTCTAAAACAAGAGTTCTTACTGAATGAGTCAGATGTAAGTTTTCCTTTTTTCCAGGGTAATAAGTAGATTAGTTGTTGAACTTTCAGGACACAGTGCTTAAAATAGAAAAAAAAATGGTAACCTGCAAATGTCTGTTTTCTGTTAACCTGTAAACTGCTGCAGATGTTTGTATTTGCTATGAGTCTTGTTCTATTGATTTTTTTGTAAATGGAGAATTGTAAGGGATCTTTTGCAATTTATTGCTGTGAGTATATATTATTAAAAAAAAAAAAAAAAAAAGCACTACTTAAGCACTACTTGTGAAGAAGACTTCTGTCTCGGTCTTGTTCTATATTAGTTTATTTAATCAATGTTAGAAGATTTTGTCCGAATCTATTTCCATTGATGCAATTTTGCTAAAATTAACATGACTCAAGAAGTTTGTAGAATGAATGAAAACAGTCTTAAAGTCCCCACCTTAAATTTAATCAGTATTACCATTTATTATTACTCATTTTCCAGGATTTCTTTCACTTAAGTGTTTTCTTACCGTTTCTGATCTATACATTATTTTGGGCTGTTACTACGCTGAAATGCCTTAATATACACAGCCTGCTCGCATTCTACAAAATAAAGAAAAACACCTCAGCTCACTTTGGTGTGAAGAAACAAAAAAGAATAAAAAAGGCTCTTTTTTTTTATCTCTCTGTTTTCTCTCTCCTTTTTTTTTTGTATAGTGTTTTGTAATAAATGATCAGTGATAAATAGGGTTAGGATGGTTTTGGTTTACAGTATTACTGATTACAGTAATTACTGTAAACTGATTACAGTAGTACTGATTACTGGTTTACCGTAATACTGATTACAGTATGGATATGGCTATTTGTTTCCTGCAAATTCTCTACTTAAAGTTTTTGTTTGTTTTTTGTTTTTTTTTTTTTCATTTTCCTAGTATTTGACTTCCACCAAGCGGCTGATGGAATCCAAGAACAGCAAAGAGAACAAGCAGGAAAGACGTATGTAGTTTTATTTTGTTGAACGTGGGAAACATATGTGACTTAGAACCCTGGAGGTATCATTTATTGTTTGTCATCATGTTTAAAACTACTTTAATTGTTCCTTGCAAGTCTTTAATGTGAAGTATGCAAGGATTACTTTTAACACTTCTGCTCTACAGAGGCAAGCAAAACATTACATTTCTAACAGAAGGATTATATCTTTTCTTTGTTTTKCTTTTTTTCCCCATGTGAATAAGTTCCTATGTTCTAATTTGCTGAAAAAAAAATGCTGATATTTAAATGGTATATCAGAAGAATATGTTTCTTCTTTTTAACCCAAAAAAAAAAAAAAACCTGTTTATGAAGATTGCAAGACCACTTCAACTCCAAATAACTAAAGTCTGGTAGGACTAGCTTGGTACCCAGTGATCCTTGTTTTCAGAAGTGCATGGCAATGTTCATGCTGTCTGTTGTACTCTGCTGCTGACTTGATGAGATTCTTGCAGCTCATAAAAACGAGGCACCATGTTTCTAATTTGTGACTTCCAAGTAGTTTGCCACTTTTGGCAGGGATGGAGAAGGCGCTGTCAGATTTAATAGTATAACACATCTCAGTTGGAAAGTAATGCATCGCTGTAGGTTTCTAAGATAAAAACTTAAACTTAATCCCTCTCCTGGGGGAGATTGTGTTATGTGGATAGAAACTAATTCAGTCCTCCCTACTGAAACTTTGTTTTTTTTGAAAGGTATCACCCTTGGCTATAACCATTAAGAGAATGATTTGGGCAAAATGTAGTAAAACATACTTGTTTCACACAGATTGTTATTGTATGCTACTTTTTCAAAAACTTTAAAAAGCAAATGGGAAGGCGTTTGTTTGCTTGCTTTTTCTTGTTTGTTTTTTTAAGTCAGTATCTGTATATCAGCTATTTCTGAAGAATGTATGTTGAGTACAAAGTAAAACCAATGTATTTATGGTTAAAAACACTGAGTCACTTGGCCCCTTGTGAGAGTGAACTACTTCATTAGTCAACATTAAAGACGAAGAGAATACCCAAAAAGGAAATAACCACTTTCCTCCCAGTCAGTGAGGAGCCTCTCTCTCCTTTAGTTCAGTAATACTGTACTATGCAAAGTTAAGTCAAGATGTCCTGGATTTCAGACAGAAGGCGAGCATTACCATTCCCGGGAATAACTCGAAGTTGATTCTGATTGGAATAATCTATTTTTTTTTCTTTTTCTTTCTTTTTTTTTTATCTCCTCTCTCCATCAGTCTTAACCATTTAAGGTTTTTCTCTGTTTTCTGAATTTTATGCTGCGATCCTTTAAGCATGTATTTTTTGATGTACTTCTTTTCTTTCTTTTTTAGGAGCTAAAATATAAAAAGCAGTGTATTAACTGTGAAACGTAGCTGTCAATAATTTAACGTGATAGAAAAATTAGCAGTGTTCTGGTATTTGGACTTGCAGTCTGATAACTTTTATGTTGTGACAGAATTGTGACTCTTGCCTCTTTAGGTTAGGCATAAGAAATTTCTACTTTTTAATYCACTTTGTTAGTGGGAAGAGGAAGACATGTCAGTTCTGAAATTTAAAATTGCAAGAAAAGTCCAAATAGAGGGGCATTAAAATCCGTGTTGAACTGATGCAGGTCTGACAAAATCTGAATGAGATGCTTCCTGCAGCAGAATTGTCTGAAAAAGCTACATTTTGTGTTCAATAGTCAAAATAAAAATAAGTTAAAGATACTGAATATTGGCTTTAATTTGTGTAATTGTGACTTTAGTTTGTGTATATTTAATCATTTTAATGAATTTAATGAGAAGTTAATGTGCTGTCTTTCAAAATATCATTTTGCTGGTATGTGCCAATGTTGTTCACATTAAGCAGACTGTTTTTACTGCTTACTATATCATTCTTTAATGATATATCATTCTTTATAGTAAGGGGTTTTTAGGGRTTTTTATGGGTCTAAGTCTAGCTGTGCTTATCTGACAGTAAATTGTATCATGTTATATCACCTTTTTTAAGCTAAAAAAGGCTCAATTCTATATGCTTGTCAGGAAAGATAGATAGGTAAAGGTAAATCATTCCAGTTTTTAGAACTGGTCCTAAATGGTTTCTGGCATACATTTTGAGCATCAAAGTCACTTTTAGATAGTGGCTAGTCCTGTGGATAGTCCTAGCTCAGTCTGAAGCTTTCAGTATTAATGATTTCTCTCATACCAACTTGCAACCCATACTGTCTGATCTGTTGCTTTAACAAGAACTCTCTTTATCTCTTTAGGAAATAACTTCTTAGGAAGACGTTTGTTTAGTTTCAGTTCATGCTGTCAAAGGGTGCTTCAGTGTTTTCAGTGTAAAATCAGAGAAAATTATCTTTTTTCTAGAAAAGCATTTCACTAAAATATGAAAAGATACTGCTTTAAAATTAAAGCATGTTATATCCTTAAAGTTATATCCTTAAACAGGATTGTTCTGAAATTAACTTGTATAACAGAAATATTTTGTGCATGAAGATGTTAAATGTTTGCAATAATAGCATTTGATTTTTGCTCTAAATACATGTTAGCTCTTAAGAAAAAAACTTGTATTATTGTCTTTTGAAAGTTTGGGAACTACCAAGAAAGGAATTGGTCCAGTGTATTCCTCAAAAGCAGCTCGAAGTGGACTCCGAATGTGTGATCTCGTTTCTGATTTTGATGAATTTTCTGAGAGGTAATTTCTATATTTTAATGCACAGTTTCAAGCTTTAAATCTCCATGTAAACAATTACATCTGCCGACTGTTCTTTTTTTTTTTTTTTCTGTATGCTGTTCTGCTGAGAACAAATTAATCACAAAGTCGTTGTAGGCCTGTAACCAAGAAAAACTGAGGTGGGGAGGGAAGCAAGCAAACAAAAAACCCTAGTGAAAAATCTTTGCCTTTCAGGTTTAAAGTGTTGGCCAATCAGTACAAAGCTGTATATCCTACCTTGGAGATCGACATTGAAGGAGAGCTGAAAAAGCTGAAGGTAAGCCTGCTTCTCTCTGTTCAGTGATGTAATCACTGTCTGCAGGATTTATTTATTGTTTGTTTTTATGAATAGATCCTCTGAATGCCACTTTTGATGCCACTTTTTGCAGCATTTGAGAACATAGAGCTATTGTTAACATTAAAAAAATCGTAATTAAAGAGAATTCTTGCCTTTCTAGTTGCTCAAACATAATGACTGGAAAAGTAAGATTGTAATTCAGGATGAGATGTCTTCATTGTGATGCAGAATATGAGTTTCTTTTGTCAAAACCTTGAGAATTGTAGTATGTATCATATTCTATTCAAAAAAGCCAACCTACTTTTTTGTATGCAGTTAACTAGTAACTTGATAGCAGCAAAGCTAACATAAGCTGATTAACAACAATACTGTTTTTTTTGGAAATTATGAATTCCATTTTTTTTTGTTTTCCTTGTAACTGGAGCACTTGTGAGAATTCTCTCTAGTTTGCAAGCCTTGCAAGCCAAGCTCTTATGCAGAGAACTGTCAAGTGCCTTAGCTTTATGCACCTTTTTTTTTTTTTTTTTCTCCCAATGCATTTTATAGAAAATTAAGTCTCTCTGAGATTTTCACTCTTCTGAAGGCTTCAACCAAATATGGGGAAAAAAAGGTTAAAAACATGGGGGAATGTGTGGAACAGGGGTGGGAACACACAGTTACATATACGTAATTATCTTAGAAGATAAGGCCAAAGAAAATTGTCCTTTTACCTTTAGCTGCCACCAAACACAGTTTGCCAGCTCTAGAAAGCAGCATGTGGGAGTTTTAGCATTTCTGCTTGGCTTGCTTTAAATGATGTCACACATTTTGAACTATAAAACTTTTATCTATATGTAGACATAAAAGTCAATTATAGCTGAATGTTTTATAATGCTTTTCAGTTTAATATACGTTGTGAGTACAGAGTGCCATTGTTGGGATGAAAACATAATATGCAGGGTAGCCTTGGAACAATTACTTGCACTTAATGTTTGCTTTTATACTGATGTAATTCATTACATTCGGAGAGAGTAAAGCTGCTATATTTCGTGTGAAGAGAATCACTAGTATGAAAATTTCCATATGTTCTCATGAAAAAAAGGCTATATGCCAAGTGCTAATCGGTACATTATTGGGTTCTTACACCCAAATTCTCATAAGTCTTTAGGTAGTTTGTCTTTAATTCCAGTAAAAAATGTAATAATTAAATCCAAACACAGAAATGAATGCTACTTTACYATTGTGTGTTGTGTGTGTTTGTGACTCTTGTAAAAAATCTTGTAAAAATTTGTAAATGAAATGCTGAATACGGTAAAATATTGTGATTATTCTTGAGCCCGAATCTTTCTAAAACAGTTAAAATACCTCAACAGTTTGGACTTGCATATGTTTGTGTGTGTGTGTGTGTGTGTGTGTGTGTTTTTTCTTGCTGGGAAGAGCCTACTGAGTAAATCTGAACTTTATGTTTCTCCTTCTCTTTCTCACATGCTGGCACATATTTTTTTAGCATTTCTTTACCTTTGCATTTCCTTTTCGAAAGGATTAATTTCCCCTTATTGCTAAGGGAAAGCAATAGCACTTTTGCATGGAATACACGTTTGCATGGAACAGTTCTCTGGTTGTCTCTCATAGTGAAACTCTGCTAGACACTAATCTTCTCTGTTACTCAGGACTACATGGAGAAAGTAAAACCAATGGTAAAGGATGGTGTCTATTTTATGTATGAGGCTTTGCATGGGCCACCAAAGAAGATCTTAGTGGAAGGTGCAAATGCAGCGCTACTGGACATTGATTTTGGTAGGTAAAGCTCCTTTGGGGAATGTGCTGCTGTATATTTATGCTGTAAAAGGAGAACTTGGAAACTGCTTTATGCATATCATTTGTGTGGAATTGTTTTGTATTTTGTGAGAACACTATTCTCCGTGATTAAGAATCTGAGAATTTAAAGAAATCAGTATTTTAATTGCATTCTTCTAAAAACCTTTAACTTTAAACTCTTCCAAGATTAACCTTTCAAATGACATTAAGGATTAGGCAAGTAAACTACTTTTCTTAAATAGAGTGTAACTACTGCAGATTTCAGTGTCTGTACATTTCATAGGAAATAATTCAAATTTGTAGATATGTGGAAAACACTTCAGAATAAAAACTGATAGCTTTTTAATGTTCTCTAATAGAGGGACAAAGTGTATATGCAAAATATTTAACCTTGAAGAATACACTTGCTTTTTAAGCTTTCAAGCTTCTTTAAAGCTCTAGCCACTTTTATTTCATTGTTTTACAGTGCAAGGAGAGATGACTGGAAACTAAATTGTTAATGAGGCAAAAATGGAAATATTACCACAGAAAACTTGAAATTATAAATTGTGCAGTATAAATAGTGCCTTTCTGAAAGTATTGTAAATTTGCTAATGAGAGAAACTTCTTGGTAGAAACAGGTTTTTTTATTATTATGAAACCTTTATATGGAGGGACACACAAATTGCTTTTTGCAAATTCAAGTACAAGAAACCTAGCCAGTTGGCTGCTATGTTCTGTTCTGTTCATTTTTCTCCCCAGCATCGTGGCCACATCACTTTGTTTTTAGAAAGGTGCTTAAGCCTGAAACGGAAGCCTGTGAGGATTACGGTCAAACAAATACAAAAATTTACTTTCAAATAATAGGAGTTCCGATATGGAGTTATTTCAATATTTCTATAGAAATTTTATATAAAGATATAAACTTATATATTGATATTATAAAATATGCAAGTTTTGTGCCTCCTCTTAAGACCTTATTTCTACTTCTTCCTTTAAGAGAAAGTCTAAGAGTTATCCTTATAAAGTGTGGACACTTAAGTTTTCCCACAGTAAAATGAATACTGGAGGAAACTGCCATTTTAACAAGTCAGGAGAGAAGTCTTAAGATAGGTCTGTCAAAGGAAAATGTTCTGATGCGAAATTGTAAGATTATTATCATTAATTTTCAATTTAATCCATGGGCTATCCAGTTGAAGTAAGTTGGAAGGTTTCTGATACTTTAATAAAGAGGGATCAGACAACATATACAGAAACTAAGAGCTCATAAGTATGCGATTGCCTTTAAAATACATTTATTGTTGTGTTTTCTTTACGTAAAATCTTGGAAAGTGTAATGTAGAAGTATTCATTACCTGGTTAGCTTTTTATTTTTATTTTTATTTTTATTTTTATTTTTATTTTTATTTTTATTTTTATTTTTATTTTTATTTTTATTTTTATTTTTATTTTTATTTTTATTTTTATTTTTATTATTTTGATAATAGCTTAAGAATAGAGCATTTTTTTTGAAAGTGATTGTCATTGTTTTTCAAAGGCACCTATCCTTTTGTGACTTCGTCGAACTGCACGGTCGGGGGTGTTTGCACCGGCCTGGGCATGCCCCCCCAGAACGTCGGCGAGGTGTACGGCGTCGTGAAAGCCTACACCACCAGGGTTGGCATCGGGGCCTTTCCCACGGAGCAGGATAATGTAAGCACGCTCTGCGCTTGGGTGACCCGGAACTGCGTGAAATTACTTGGTTTTTCTTGCACGAAGTCAGTATTGGTGGTTAAATGCAAGCAGATGACGGGGGGCTGGGTGGGTCTGGCAGATCCTGGTGGATCTGGCAGAATGTTCTGGATCTGATTGACAGCTTTGCAAGTCTTCCCATGGAATAGGAAGGCCTAGAGGATTARCTTTTGACAGGGTTGCTCAAATATCATTCTCTTGACTTAGCAATAGCATTTTGTGTGTGTTTTTGTTTGTTTTGTGTGTTTCTTTTTTTTCTTCCTCTCTTCCATCTGATGGTCTTTTTGTAAAATATTTGTAAAATATAGGAGGGGAAAGAAATTCCAAGATAACTTACAATACTGTAAATGGTGCTAAAATATACAATGCAGCTGTATACTGTGAATATGGAAAGGTTCATGTAACTACTGCTCTTTGTTAGGAAATTGGAGAATTACTGCAAAAGCGAGGTAAGGAGTTTGGTGTGACCACTGGGAGGAAGAGAAGATGTGGCTGGCTGGATCTCGTGTCGCTCCGATACGTCTACATGATCAATGGATTTACTGCGTGAGTTACTGGGGACAGCTCTGCTGGCACCCTGACTTTAGATCATGATATGTGACAGATTATTGTGCGTGATGCATCTGCTTGTCACTAACGTTGTCTGTTAATATCGACAGAAAATGGCCTATGTAGAGATTTGATTTTCAATCGAGTTCCRTGGCCCTAGCTAGAGAGGAGGTTTTATCCTTCTTGAAAGGGCAGATACTTTCGAAAGATAAAATAATTAGCTATAACTTTTACCTGCAGTTCTGAGTATTTTGTCTAAAAGCTAGACACTAGTCTTGAAGAATACTCTCTTTGTGAAGAGAGTGAGTGTAGCTCCAGAAGAGGTTCCCMGAAGTGGTGGAATCTCTTGGCAATTACCTCTGCTTCACTCGGGAAGTTGGACTAAGTGATTCTTAGATGGTTGTTAGCAGATGGTTGCTTGTTTCCGACCATCATTTATTTCTATGATTTAAAAACAATCATCATGTCATAGAGGAGACTGGAAATTATACATCTTGTGATTTAAAGTTARTGTTACGATTTTTATAAAGTTGCTTGACAAGGATATACTTTTTTGATAAATTAATTGCCCTTCATTTTTCTAGCAGTTATTATTTTTATGCCTTTTTTATTTCTGTACTGCTCAGTTCTTTCTTTTAGTTATAGTAAAAATAGATCCCCAAACTGCTTATGACTCACAGTGCTTGAAATTTCAAGCGGTTGCCCCCTCTTCTCTCAAACTAACCGAATCAAGTACATTATAAGGGCCTTAAAGCCTTGTATAATTTGATTTCCCTCTCTTCCCCCTCCTTCTTAACAGTGGGTCAGTAATTGGTAGAGGAGAGGAGCTGACAGTAATAGACATCATGCTGCAGAATCATCTCATGAATGCTTGTTGATGTCCTGGAAGCACTTGACCAGTTAATTTCTCCTATTTAAAAACAGAGATTAGTTATTTTAATTGGAGCATATTTGTTCTTTAAATTTTGCCTCTTTTCTAAGGAAAAAAAAATTGTAGTGATGAGAATTGAGAGTTGTTAAATGTGTTTAAACAGAATAATGTTTCGTTATAGCTTGGCTCTTACCAAGTTGGATATCTTGGATGTATTCCCTGAAATCAAAGTTGGTGTTGCTTACAAACTAGATGGTGAAATCATACCTCATTTTCCTGGTAAGATTGCATGTTTATAATTACCTCTTTAGATACTGGCGAAATGTAATCTGGTACCTAAATCACAGGACTTTGTTACTTCAGCATTAAGCCATTCTTGTCCTCTGAGTCCTGTACTGTATATAAAGACACCTGCACTACATATTATCATTTGTCTACCAGAAAAATGCCAACTGCTTTATAAAGCTTGAGTTTCTAAACATAAATATTATTACTGCTATATGTCTTTTCTTTAATATAGCCTGAATTACCTTCAGGGTAAATGTAAAGCTCTTATTCCTTGTTCTCAACCCATTGTCCTATTCCCACTACTGTATTCGTGCCTTCTTGTAGTGGAACAAGTCTTTTGTTTAGCTATAGAATGTGGATCAGATGAAGAAGCTGATCCCATTGAAAAATTTTTTTTTCTATCTCCGTSTTAATTTTTGACTAGGTCAGTTCCCTTTAACGGTTGACAGAGCAGCCAGAACCCAGTGGAAAYGGGAGAGCAGAGAGAAAGAGCAGCTAGTTTAGGAGAACATAAGGATGCACGTTCCGGTGCAGGAGCAGCGTAGGTCCCTTTAGCATGATGGAAGCTGTAGTTCCTCACTGGGAGGACTGTGCTCGTTTTGGCAGACYTACCAGAAAGAAATTATCTGCATGTTGAAATACTCAAAATAGTGATTTCATGGGGAATGCTTTTTTTGTTTTGCTGTAGTGATGTATTTCCTGAAACAGGAAGAACATCAACCAATTCTGAAAACTGGATTTTCGAATTTGCACATGGATCTCTGATCCATGATTGCCGCCACTTGAAGCGTGGCTGCTTGCAGGTTATAATGTTTTATGGTAACAGTAGCAGAGAATTTCTGTGGGTGAGGAAGGCAAATGTAGTAATCAAATGCGGCTCTTGACAGGATTTGTAAAGCAAAGATGTAATCATCTATAAAGGAATAAATGATAAATTTTGTCAATTGTCAGCACTTGTGTTTTGATGGAAATTCATACAAAAAATCTTCTGCCTTTTATATGCTTAGAGAAGTTTTCTAAGTTGTTTTGCCCTCCAGTATTTTTGTACAAAAGTATCAGCTGTGATTTTGATGTGCATTGAATGATATGTATGATGACACATATTAAATTTAAGATGTTTAAATGACGCATATTAAATTTAAGAGGTTTAGTGCTCATCTTGCACTAAGCCAGCAAGTGTTTTTTTCCCTTTTTAAAGCTCACATATTCCCACCCGTTTTGATGTTCTTGCACTCTACCGTTTCCTTATTTTTTGATATTTCTAATATCCTTTAAACATGATGGAGAATGCAAGTTTGAATTGCAGATTGTGCTGAGTGCTTTGTTTGTAGCCCTCTCTTCTAGCCTGGGGGCTGTTTGAACCCACTCTCACTCAAGCCAGGAGGACTGTCTTTGGCAATCTGCCATTAAAGATGACATGCATAGGTCCTCATATTTGCTAATCCTGAAGTCTTATGCAAGTTATTTGTGTAGCCAGATGTGGCCAAAAAGGATCAGAATCTTCCTGTGACCCCCGAAGGCCACAGGAAAGAGGCACTTTTGCTCCCTGCATATGCCCAAGTGATGCACATTGGTCATAGCTGCACAATGTGGTTCATCCTCCAAACTATATTTTTCTCCATTAAATTAACAATTTTAATAGTCAATAGAAGTTCTTGCCTTTGCTGGTCACTTAAGTGTCTTGCTTAAGTGTCAGGCAGGARTTTGAGCTGCACATTCAGGACGCTGGAAGGTGCAGTCTCTCTCAGTGATGTGCCCTACATCTCTTAGCTGTTTTTCAACCWAGGGTTCTGTGAGAGTTTCATATCTGTTAAGAACAAACCCCAAACATCTGGTAACAATAGAGCTGGCCTTAGTTGGTATCCTGGAGGCTCTGTTCTTCTGCTTTGCAGAGGCCAGGATTTTCTGGTCAACCATGTTCAATCCTGAGAGCTTATGAAAGAAAGGCAGAAGGTCCCTGCCAGCTCTGAGCTGATGCGGATGGAGGGATGTGAAAGCAAAGCCACCTTCCAGCCCTGCCCATGTGCATTTACAAGTTTGTTTGACAGGTGAACTCAATGCAGAAGGGCACAACCTCTAGTTCAGGAAATTCGGGAACAAATTCTTGGGAAATGGGGAGTGTTTTGGAAAAGCATTCCTTCGTGTTTATCTTTTCCTTAGCCATCTACTGCTGGTCAAGGAGCTGAAACATGCTGCTAAGTGCATCTCTGGTCTGATCTGTGTAGCTGTCTTTTATGTTCAGTTTCTTGAAGTTGCTGGAGGATCTTACAAACTGAGATATTTTCATTCTAAAATCCCAAATTTCAACTATTCTTTTTGAGTTGCAAGCAATATTGCCCCCCTCCCTCTCCAAGTTACATACTAGACTGCCAGATATAATTACATTTGCTTTCTCCTTTATCTAAAACAACTGTTAATGAAGGATGTTCCAGAAAGCCTAAATGATAAACTCCTAAGGCAGGAGGTCGGAGATGTCTAGAGAGTGACTGCCTCTTCTCTTACACTGAGCTCAGTTCATGGCTTATCTTTATCATCCTTTGTCACCACACTTGTAGGAGCAAGAAGAGAAAATAGATTAAAAAAAATCAAGAAATATATCTCTTCTTATACTAGTAAGATTAATCTTTTCAGATCTAAGTCCTTTCAACTTCCAGCTTTTTTTTTCCAGCTAACCYCTTCACAGAGACCTCAAAGAAAACTAGAATTCCTCACACTCAAATTGTTCAATATTTTGAGTTTTTTGACTACATGCATGCTAGGGAGATTACTATTTTTTATTTATGTTATATATTATATTTATATATATTTATTAATATATATGTTTATTTTTATTACTAGGGAGACTACTATTACTAGGGAGATTTTCACAGTATCCAAATTCCATTGTAAAGGGAGAGTTGGGTCTTGGTATTGGTACAGCAAAAAAAGCAAAAACAGATAAAAAGTTTTGGGAATTAAATTTCCTGAACAATGCAGGTTGTTGTTTAAGCAAAGTGTATGCCAGTGACTGCTGAATACCACAAATTCTTGAAGACAATTGCAGGGTTTTTGTTTTCTCCGTTTCCATGAAGAGAAAGAACTTTGGCCCTTCACTGTTTGTATTATGTGAAGAACCTCGTTCTGCAGATACGACACGAATAGAAAGCATACCGCTATATGATTAATGATAGAGAATATATCAAGGTTTTGGACATAATAGTTTTGTGTCTATTTGCTTCTCAGCCAACCACGAAGTCTTAAATAAAGTAGAGGTCCAGTATGAGACACTCCCAGGATGGGATACAGACATTTCAAATGCTAGGACGTTTGATGAGCTGCCTGTAAATGCACAGAACTATGTTCGCTTTATAGAAATGGAGCTAGGTGTTCCTGGTAAGTAAAGCAGACTTTTGGTTTTTTTTTTTTTTTCCCATGCTCCATGAAATTTGTCTTTTTTTAATCCTCCTTTAATGAACATCCAAAATCTTGAAAACTGAACATTTTTTTAAAGCTATGATTATTCTTAAATACCTGATCATTCTTATAACTACTCTTTTACATCTCTCCTTTTATTTTAAATCTCTCTGTTTAGTTGTTGAATTGGAAGTTCTCAAAAGTTTCACTCTGTATCCATTCTGTGTTCTTGTGCTGTGGTTCATGTTGTACTGAGGTTTTTATCAATGTCTTTATTCACTGATTTTTTTGGCTGTATCGGTTACAAAAGTGTTTAGTTCTGCTGCCATTAAGGAAGGGTCAGCAAAACTACTGGTATATGAATGTGATATTTAAAATATGTGACAGGAAAAGATTCTACACCAATCAAATGCTTTTGTGCTTCCTGATACAGATGTTCTTCTGTCCAAAGATGGGAATTAGAAGATTATGCAGATTTTACTTTGCTTACAGATGCTTTGTATCATTCCCCTCCCCGCCCCCACATATCTGGGAAATGCATGTATTTCTCCAACATTCAAAAGTATTCCTAATTTTTGAAATTAGCAGTGCGCTCTTTCTGATCAATACACATAGCTATTATTTCTTACTGCACTAATAGTCTACACTGTGTTTTTCTTTCCAGACCATAGCACTTAAGGTCTTGCTCTGGATTATTTATAATAGTTTGCTTTTTTCTCCTACAGTTAAATGGATTGGAGTAGGGAAATCCAGGGAATCAATGATCCAGCTGTTTTAAAGATTTCAGATGCATGGAAGAAAGCACACTCCTCAAAAGACTGCTCATTCTTAATGCATTAGTAGCCCGCAAAGCAAAGATGTTGGAAAGATAGATTTTTTTGCATGGAAAGAAAGAAATGCTAGAGTTGATATCCCCAAATCAATCACTATTCCTGAAAGAGACTTTAACATGAACTTGTTTCAGTTCTGGGTCAACTGGCATTTTCCAGGACATTTGTTGTCATTGTTCTTCATGGTGCCATCAGATTTTTTTCTTTACCTAATATTTACTTCATGATGTAATTCTTGTTTGAAAATCTAAGGTAGCGTTACTTTCATGACTGTTTGTCTTTGTTACTGTGTCTCTGCTTTTGGCGGTGTTACTTCCCTGAAATTTTAGACAGTAAATATAACGCAGTTTTGCACAGATAGTTTTACATCCTCATCATTTGTATTCCTAAAAGCTGTTGTATTCTTAATGGCTGCTCTTGTAAGTGATTAAAGAGAGGGATTCTGATTTTATAATGCTATAAATGCTGTCTAAATTATTGTGTGATCTGTTTTTTTTAAGTCATGCCAAGGTGTTGAGAAATGTCCAGGTTTTTTTAGTGATATAGCCCACTAAATGTGCTCTGTCACTCATGGAGGACCCCCAAAAGCTTACCAGAAAGTGTGCGTGAAAAATTAGAAACTTGACATTGTAAAAAGTTAATTTGCAATCATTAAAAAAACAATTATGATTGAGTTAAATGTTTTATAATTTCACTCCATTTTTTTTAGTATTTTACACACCGTTAATTTCTCTACTTCCAGACTACATCTCAGCTCTTTTATTAATTGAAAGAGGTTATATTTGTTTTTGATAAGAAGTCTAGCATTTTGATGCCCTTTTAAATTCCTCTCTACATAGCTAGTAGACAATCTTGCTGTGGAGAGAKAGTGATACAGACATTTTTATAATTCTAAAATTAAGATGCTTTGTAAGTATTTAAAATATTCAACATACTTGCTTTAGATGTGGGAAAATAGTATTTACTCTTTGACATTTGACATTATATTTTGGCTTATTAGTGTTGGAAAACCTTCTGGAATGGTTTTTGCTTATAACCATTGTGATATAATCCAAATCTGATTTCTTTTTTGCAATAATAATAACATACTCTTATTCCTATTTTTTAAAGTCTGACTTTTGTATTTACGCATTGTATTATGGTGTTTGTGTGCTTCCTTTTTACTTCAAGCAAAACTTTGTTTCCTAAAATCAAGTTTGTACCAGGGTGGGATGATGGGCAATGGCTTAGTAGGTTGCAGCTGTGCAGGCAAATATGAGAAACTTCTAATGTAAAATAAAAGACAACAAACCTTCCAAACTATGTCGTAGGTAACTGCATCTTTTGTAAAAGTGAATAGAGCTATTGGAATCACACAGCAGTTGAGGTGTTCAGCACAATGTTTATACTCCTAACTGGCCACAGAATTAAATTTCTCATCATAAGAGGAGGAATGGGGTGGCTGGAGGATAAAGATCCTGATATTTAGGGAGCATTTCCTGTTGAATTGTTTCTGTGTAACAGCAGTCAGCAGGATGTGTGTTGTACTTTCGCAATGTGTGGAAAGAGGATACTACATTGTGGTGGAAAATTGGCACATGCAGTGTGACACCCTTGTATCGGTGTTACGTGTTAAAGACCATTCTCTCCGGGATTAAACAAAAAATAACCTTATTCTTGATTTTTTACCCCTCCCCCCCCCGGGAGGGGATGGGTGTGGGAATTCAGTTTTGCTCTTGGTCTTGCTGTTCAAGAGAGAACCAAATCAACCCTCCCTAGCTAAGGGAAATCTTAAATTATGAAGCTGACCTGGATTCCATGATGAAGAAGGAGAGGCAAGTATAACTGTGTGATACATATTTTACAAAGTTTATTTAGAAGGTAAAAGCCACATTAATATTTTTGAGAAGATGGAATTAGTGTGAAGAAAAAGTAGTAATAGCTGAGTATAATTGTCTTCCCTATAGCTATGGGAAGAGCTGAAGGGGTTTTTGCTGTTAGTGTCATTACCAGCCAAAGGATGACGGCCGAATTGGTTCAAGAAGTGAGTGAATAAATGAGGGACTGTTCTATATCTGTGACTCGCTTCTGGTAAGCAGAGATCTTCATGTTCAAGACCTGCCTCAATTTTTGCAGTTTTGCATGAACTGTATCCTGTTTTTCAGTTGGTGAACTCAGACTCCCAGACCTGAGGAGATTTTTAAGAAACATAGCTGTAGACTAAAGTAATGCAAAGTATTTGTAGAACGAATTAAATAAACAAGCCAGAACTTCTTGGATGTACAAGTGATTTATACTCTTTTGCTTTCTTTTGAGTTCAGCTGTGATTTTAGTTGATTCTTCCATTCAAGTGCAGATCTGGAAAACTGAACTACTTCCTATTAGCAGCACTTGTCCAGATGGTAAGTGGTCCAGGATGTGTTGTTGGTGTGTATTTATTCTCGTCATCTGGAAATAAGATTTTTAAGATTTAAGATTTTTCTGAAGGTTTTAAATTTCAGGTGGTTAAACTTGGCATTTATAAGGCTTATTATGTTGTCCCTGAACACTAGTTTTGCATGAGCCATGCTAGAGTGAATTGTTTTGTTTTGTTTTATTTTGTTTGTTTTATTATTTTTGTGTGTGGTGAAATGGGCCTTTTGATGAATCTGGGCTGTCTTATCACCAGCCTTAACACTGTGAGAACAAACATTAAAAGCAATGGAGATTGTTTCAAGCTTTGTGCGGTCTGCTCTTGAAACTAGTCTGTGCTCAACTGCAGAAGCAAGGAGGAGCTGTCATGGAACAGCCTTGTGCTCTTTAGCAGTGACAATGTTGAATGGCTTTGAAGGCTCTTACCATTATTTCTGTTTTCATAATTTACTATCATGCTTTTTTGCCCTTAATGCAAAAGTGCCCTTTGGCCTCCAAAGTACCACCACATTCACTGCCAAAAGACTCTGTTTCCTGTCATGGGCCACGGAACAAGTAAACTTCAATAAAAGGGAAACCTGTGTACTTAAATTTATTTTTTCAACGACGATTATATATTTCTCAGGCCCTTCCTGTGTACTTCTTATCTACTGGCCTGCAGCCTCTTCTGCTCCTAGCTTGTAAGTGGATCGGATGGCAATATGGGATGGCAGTTGAAATTGATTCTCTGCCAAGCGTTCACTCCCACTAACGGGGTGTTCAGAGGAGCAGCAGGCACCTGTGAGACCCGAGCAGGCTGGCGACGGGCGCCGTACTCTGATCCTGTGCCATTCTTGCTGCTGCTTAAATATTTAGTAGGTTGATACTCGCAGGCTTGTGCAGCTCTGCAGGTTTAATAGCCCTTGCGTCCCTGTGGATTAGYGAGTCTGCTTTATTAACCTAATAGGAGAGGAAGCGAGGGATCCTCCTGCTGCCCGAGCCTCTGCGTTTGTAATCCGCATGTAATTGAGTTGGCAACCCGCTAATGGACAAAGCCCTCAGATGAAGTGGCAGCCAGACGGGCTGGTGTAACGCATGGCAGCTGCTTTTGCCTGTCACCATCCTAGAAATGTGCTTTGTAATAGAAGATCAGCCTTTCCATTCTCTGTTACAGACAGTTTTGTTAAACTTTCCATGATTTGTTTGTTATCTAGCTTAGAAAAATCCGAAGGTAGTTTCTAGGAATAAGGGACTCAGTAGTCAGGTGGCTTCTTTTCCCACAGTACAGCTCCCAGCCTCTGAAACATTGAAACTCTAACGCAGTGCTGCAAGAATTAAGCACACTTCATAGCACGTGTAACAGCTTTACCTATTGAAGGTAGACTGCTATGTATACCTACCTAACATACAAAGACATGGATGACGTGTTATTTCCAGAACCTCAGAATTTGATGCCACTCTTTGGCATGGATAATTGCAATCTCATTTGATATCTCATCTTTAAAGTATCTTGCAGTGGATGCACATTCAAAGGAATTTTATGCAGCTTCAACTAGGTAATGTCATGTTAAATCCTAATGTTTTTCACTGCCACTTTGGAACTATTTAGAACTAGATTAAATATATCAACTTGGTGTCTTTTCTTATGCTATATGATTTTCTTCAGTGATCAATTCATTCATTATTCCAGGTATTCACCATTTAGCTCTTTCTATACATTCTACTGTATTTTACTGCATATTTGAGAAATGTTCTATTTTTAGAGAAAGCAATCTGCACAAGTCTAAGTAGTTTGTCACGTTCTGGTTCATTGGGATCCTTCTGCATGTGACAGAAGGAACTGGGATACTCTGGCCGTTTGTGGTGGTTGCAGCTATTTTTTCAGAAGTGAAACACAACTTTTTTTTTTTTACTCTCAGGGTAGTGTAAGATTATTTGGGTAACTTCACCCAGGTGAAGCTCCCTAGTTCATCCTCACACCCCTCTCCAARAAAAACAGTACTGTGTGCAGAATGGCGTAGTTAACTTACACATATTGAGAAGTGGAAAATCAAATGCTGCTTTGTAGGAAGTTTGCTGGTACCAGTTGCTGGTGGTCTTTTTCATTGTCTTTTGAAAATGAACGTATTGCCTGAGGGCTGAATTGTCGAAGTCTGGTTGGAAAGGCTTTTCAGCTTCCTTGTTTCCTGGAGCTGGTTGCAGCTGACAGAAAAGCCTRGGCAGAAAACATATATCATTCTGTAATCTCATGCTGACATATAGTATGTAAATGCCACGATCCACCTAAAGGGTAGCCAACMCCATAAATGTACTTTCTAATTTCTTGCYGAAATGAGCACTTAGTATGATGCAGTTGTAATGTAGTAGATATTAACAGCATGAGTGTATACCCAGTAAAACCTTAATAATTCAGTAATGGTCAATTGACTCCATTTGGTTGTTGTAACTTGCAGGAAAATGATGTATATCTTGCAGTGGAGCAGCTAACTGTTAATTCAGTTTTACTAGAACTATCTAGTAAGCCTTGGATTCCCAACTGGAATAGCCTACAACACCAAATAAGTAARCAAAAACATATTTCAGAGTTGATATATAATACAATAAATTTTCTTAGAGGGGAAAAAAGATCACTTAAAGTAATTTCCATTTAGAATTCTCAGATGTCTAATGGACTTGGGTCATGCAGCAGTCCTGGCATGGTTAACATCTTTTGGATGTAGTTTTGTTTTACACTCCCTGGGTTCTCTTGTTCCCCTTTTAGGCCAATGTCATAAAAATAACATTTGAGCTGTTGCGCTGTTATCCATGATGGGCTTAAATGAGAAAGGTTTATTCCCAAGTCCCTTCAGGTTTCATTTGATGCRCAGCCCTACCCTGGAGGTCCTTCGCATGGATGGGCCTTATGTACGCGTCCTATTTGCCCAGGGTAGAATCCATGGACGTCCTTTCCAAGACGAATAACTGGGCTGATAAAGCAAGCAGACGAAACAGAAGTTTGTGATGATACGAACAGGATACTAGAGAATAGTAATGCCACCCCTATAGAGGAACAGCATTCTTTTTATATGACAGTTGTGAAAAAAGAAGTAAATAAATAATTTTGTCTCAGTACTCAGCTTGCTAGCAAACAAGAAAATGACTTTAATAACAGCAAGTTCTTGCATTATTTGCAGGGAGGGGGGAGTGCAGATGAATGTACTGTTCTTTAGAAGAGCTCAAAGTCGGGCTTTCTGAAATTGTATTAACTCTTAAACACTTTTTTTTTTTTTTTTTTTGTATGATTGTCTGATATCCTGTCCGGTGTGCATAATGTGTGCTGTGTGTTTGCAGAGGCTTACCCTGGTGGCAGGACTGGTGCAGGATCGATAAACTCCCTTAGTCTGATTGCAGTGTGCGACATGACAAATCCCTACAAACAATAAAATATTAAGTTGTTGCCAAGAAGTTACTGATAGATTTAAAATAACTGGCTTACATGATTTAATGTATTAGTCTCCCTTTTAGCATTGAAAATGTCTATAAAGAGCATATCTGTTAGGATGCTTCCAGGAAAGGACTAGAAGAAGAAAAGAAGCAGTATGTGTGTGTAGAAGTAAATGTTCTGAAAAATGTTAAATTTTGTAGAGAGACGGAGTTTCTTAGTTTGTGTAGCAGATCTCAGGCTAGAAACAAATAGAGGAAACGGTTAACTTTTTAAATGGGGCTTCTTAAGTCAGGACAGCAGTGTGCTGTGCTGTGACTCAAAACAAAATTTCTTTGCAGATTGATTCATTATACCAGTGGGTCTGATGATCTACTTATTTGTCATAATTAAGTAGCAATTTATTCTACCTCCTGAGGAAAGAAATTT